AATGATGAGGAAAAGCAATGAACTGGGTTTTCATCCCTACATCTGCCATTCACAAGCTTTGTGACTGGATAAGTCTCTTCATCTCTCCAAGCCTTCCCTTTTACCTGTGTTAGGCTAATATCTATCTAACCGCAGATCAAATGAGTCCAAAGTTCTTTGAAAAGAGCATTTTATTCAGAAAATATTCATCCAGAGCTATGGCCCTGCTAGAAAATGGAGATACAAGGAACACACACACACACACTCCTTCCTCTCAAACTAATAAACTCATGCAAAAGACAATTACAACACAGCATACCTGTGGCAGTAGACAGAAGCACAGAGTGTACTGTGATCACACTGCCTAGCAATTAAGGAAGGTGGAAGAGAGAACCTGGTGGGCAGCTACCGGGAAATACATCCAAAAGCAATACCTAATCCAGAGAGATAAGGCTGTAAAGTTTAGAACGAGAATATATATTAAGACAGCATTATATTTGCAAACAAATACATATATTAGAAAGCTGTTTCGTGACTTCCCTGGTGGCACAGTGGTTAAGAATCCGCCTACCAATGCAGGGGACTCGGGTTTGAGCCCTGGTCCAGGAAGATCCCACATGCCGCGGAGCAACTAAGCCTGTGCATCCCAACGACTGAGTCTGAGCTCTAGAGCCCGCAAGCCTGGGTGCCACAACTACTGAAGCCCACGCACCTAGAGCCCGTGCTCCGCAACAAGAGAAGCCACCGCAATAAGCCCCGTGCACCACAACGAAGAGTAACCCCCTCTCGCGGAAACTAGAGAAAACCTGCACGCAGCAACTAGGACCCAACACAGCCAAAAATAAATAAAATAAAATAAATAAATTTTTTTGAAAGAGTAGTGTTTTTTGGTTTTTTTTAAAAAGAAAGCTGTTTCATGTTCCTTTATTTCCTCCCCTTCCTGCCCAATAATGTCAGTCTCCAAAACTGAAGACATATATTACTGACAAACAATGAAGGCTTGGAATCAGCTGAAGGGAAAAGGAAACAACAAAGAGTCTGGACATCTCACAAGACAAGTAGTCACTTAGCATCCTGCTATTCAAAGTGTGTCCATGAGCCAGCATCATCTGCATCACCTGGGCACTTTTAAACTACTCTTGCTGAATCCCATACCTACTGAATGAGAATGTCTATTTTTAAAGGTTCCCAGTTAATCTGCATGCTTACTGTCTGTTTGAGAAGTACTAACAGAGGGATAACTATTTCTTGAGATCTTCAAGTTGATTTCTTGAGGTCCTCAGTTCAACCAAGCTGCAATTTACAAGGAGTATTAAAACTAGACGGACTTTCATCACTTAAAACGTTGTTTTAGCAGATGAAGATAAAAAAGAAGACATTTTACATAAGTATTTGAAATAGATAGCATCTACAGCAAAATCAAGTTTTCCTTACAGATGCCATTAGTAAAAAACCTCTCACAAAATCTCATCCTTTCCAGGTCTGGCATCCTATTCCCCAAACATTGTTCACACAAGCCCTGTTTTTTCCTAAGACTCTGTCCCCTGATAACACTCTTTTCTCCTGTAATTCTAGAAACGGATCAGAAGAGAAAGAGGAGGCCTCAGAAAGGCAACGCTGAGGGTTATTAAGCCATTTCACTTTTTATCCAGGGTCAGCACTTCTAGACCTTCAATTGAATAATGACGTCTAAGGAGCTGGTCCACAAATGACCTAAGAAGCACTCTTTGCTAGGGGGTGGAAGAAAAGTACAAAGAACTGCCCCCCAAACAGCCTGGACCAAAAATACCAGAAACTAGTTTTAAATAAACCTAATCATCTACACTCCTAACTCTCGTTATCCATACCCAGGAGAGTAGAAAGAACTTTAATAGGAAACCCACATTTATTTTCTCCACTCTTTCTCTGGTAACAATACAACACTGTAGTCAAGTGACCAAAAAACAAGCATTAAGTAAAAACACATTTCTCCCCAAATCCTATAAAATCAGTACCTAAATGATAAAAGGTCAACTATACCTACTTGATTACAGACTTCACAAAATTAACTCCAAACTTAATTCACCAATAACATATATATTTTCACGATCTTCTTGCTCACGACAAATTAACCAAATACATCTGGATACAAAATAGAAGTTATACCATTCAAATATATACTAAATGCTCCTCTTCTCAAGGTTTTACTATCTTAGACCATAAATTCAAATTTATCATGTGTCACCTGAAAGAAAAAAAAACAAAGCTGTGCCAAAATGTTACAGACCCCACATACAACCCTCAGACCAAATCTCCAACACACCGTAAAGAACTATCAGAAAGATTCAAAATGACTCAACCATTCCAGAATCCTTAATTCTCAGGAAAGTTTCACAGAATTTTATTTTAAAAGCTACCCATTTCTTAATTCCCAAACAGACTGCAATAAATTTTTTGTTCATATAATGTGGGTAACAAGTAAGGAACAAAGAATGAATAACCAAAGACAATCTCAGTTGTCCTGGTAAATATTACAAGACTTTTAAAAACTAACTATGAAATTTAAGAACATAAAAGGCATAAAAATATAACACACACCTATGTACCACCACCCAGTTTAAGACATGTAAACTTACCCAAAAAATTACTACACTCCACTTCCTTCAGTGTAAAGATAGCCACTCCCTTGAACTTGGCATTTATTATTATTTTTTGGTATACTTTTACCACATATGTACATATTCCCAAACCAATGAGTACCAACCCGCAGCAATCATACCTGGCAATGTCTGAAAAATGTTGGGTTATCATAACTGCAACCAGTGGGTAAAGGCCAGAGATGCTGGCCACAGTGCACAGGACAGCCCCCTCCAGCAAAGAATTATCTAATCAGTCCAAAACAGCAATAGTGCCAAAACTGAGAAACCCTGTCCTAAACAACAAACAGTACTGTTCTACATTTTAACATACCATATGTTTTCTTTTTAAAGAAACTTTACTTTCTTGCTTTATTTGCTTAACATTAATTTTCTCCAGAAGTGTTTTTAAAATGTTTGCTAACAGAATCAGATGAACAAGATGAATTGATACATACCAACAAATTAAATAATGTGTAAAATTATCCTGTAAACTAAGATTTTTAAACTTCTGAAAAATACCTGTTTTTACATAAGATAACGAAACTATTTACACGACAGATATACTCCATACTAGAAAACATACAGACAACATGAATATCCCCTCAAAAATTGCTGTAGTACAGGATTTGTTACACTTTACCTTTTCCCTGGAAAGATATTTAAAATTCCCCATAAACCTACAATTACTGATCCCAAGATGCCTCCAAATTACTGAGCTCAAACTTTAGCTTGAGCTAGCATGATAAAGTTTTATGAGTGTGCAGAAACAGGAATATGCCCCATACAGTGTTGTAGGAGGGCAAATTGGGAAAATGTCTTCCCAACGCATTTAGTCAACATCTCTCAAAATATTAAATATGTGCACTCTTTGATGCAGCAATTCCACTTCCAAAGTACTCAGTACACATGCACAGGATATATGTACAAGGAGTCATTCAATGCATCACCGTAAATAAGAAAACCTGAAAGAATACAAATGCCCATCAACAAAGCACTGGTTAAATAAATTACTGCACCCAATCACTGTAATATTATGCAGCTATGAAAGAATAAGGCAGACATCTATGTGCTAACATGGAACAATCACTAATAGGTACTATTAAGTTAAGAAGCAAAAGTACAGAAAAGAATATAGTATATTACCACTGGGCCTTAAAAGGGTTGCAGATTTACAATACGTTAATACATATGCTTGCAATGAGTATTCTGTAAGAACACACAAGAAACTGGTAACAATGGTGGCCCCTTTTTGTACTGTGTTGGTCCTGCACATAAATCCTCTGCAATGTTTAAAAAGCCAGCAAAGAAACACAATTTTATGAATTATCTATTCAAAAACTGAACTGCCTTGTGTTAGTTTCCTTTTTATTGGTGCTAACAATAACTATGTACCTATTTCAGGATTTGTTAGGTTTTGCCAAACTCCATCATAAAGCTTTAAAAATAGCTTATTTAAGCATTCTGAAAATTATCAAATTTGAAATTTGAAACTATTTCCTACTGAACAGAGTACCAAGGATAAATCTATGTGAAAATGAATTCGATTAAATTATTTTGAGAGCAAGCTTTCAGTTTATCATATTATATAAAAATTCTAGAGTCAATAACAAACAGTTCCCTGAAATTTGGTGAATCAAGAAGGACACTGACTCATTGCTGTGTTAATGGATAAGTCTCTGACATAACCTTACAAATGAACTGAGACGTTAAAAGATATCAGGTGTCCCCTATACCTATCTTCCACTTGAAAAGAGTATTTAACACAAAGAAAGGGTTCAACAGCTTAGGCTGTTTTTCCCTCTATTGGTATAAAGATACACAACGAAACAATTAAAATGAAAAATCATTCCACAGGGTACTAAGTAGCAGCATTCAGCTACTTAACTCCAAGTCTTTCTATGTGTTAGATGAGGAGGAAAAAAGGCTATCGCAACAAATCCGAGGTACCAACGGCCCCTCGGCAATTGTAACCGGTCAACTAAACACCATATGGCAAGGCAAGCCTCCCTTCAGACACTCATCACTCGGTGGCTGATTAATTTCAATGGCTTATTAGACAGGCCTATCTAGACCCCTTCCCTAGAGGAGAAAGAGGACGGGAAGTGTCTGCGGTCTTCCCGGTGCTTTGTGCCTTCCAGGCTTGAAAGCATCCCCGTGATGGTACAGCCATCATTCCCCTTGGGGGTGGGACGGAGGGAAGAGAAGAGGGGTCTTTTTTGTAAGTTTTTGTTTACCAGGTATTGAACCTAAAATTCCCTTTGACTCCTTCCCCGCTCCCTCCAGCCAGGCGCTGCACGGTAGGCGTTCCACCACGGGCTTCTCCCAGACCTCCCGACGCCCCCGCACCCCACCTCGCCCCTGCCCCGACGCGCGCAGGCCCCGGGCCAGGTGGCCGCCGCTTACCCGTGGGCGCGCTGTCCAGGATACGCAGGTCGTAGGCCCCGGAGCAGCGGTAGTTGGCGGCGGTGCCGTTGTCCCACACCACCACCACCTCCTCGGGGCTCTCGAAGCTCCGGACCGTGCCCACATGGCCCTCGCCGCCGTCCTGCTTCCCCCACTTCCAGTCCGGGCCGCGCACGACTCGGGCCCCGACCCCTTCCACCATCACCCGGTTATTCCTGGAGTTACTCATCGGGGCCCGAGCGGCGGGCTCCGCCGCCGCCGCCGCCGCCGCCGCCGCCGCCGGGGGACCCGTGAGGGAGTTGGGCCCGGGCCGGACTCTCGGCGCCGGCGGGGGCGGCAGCGAGCCCCGGGGGACGTGGGAATAACTCACGGGGGCGGCGGCGCGGTCCCCGCCGAGCCCACAGCCGCTCCCCAGCCGTCGCCGCCGCCGCCGCCGCGCCCCCCGCTCGGACTGAAGGCCGGACTGCAGCAGCTCCGAGGCGACGGCGGCGGGCGGGCAGAGAGGAGGGGGCCGTGGGCGGGGACTCCCCCGCTTCCTCCGGGCTCCCCGGCCGGGCTACAGCGACGGCCGCCAGGAGACCACGCTCTCCCCCGACCGGGAGCGCGGGGAGCACAGGGGGCCGGGGTAGGTTAGCCCCGGGGAGACGGCGCGGGCGGCGGGGAGCAAGCTTAACTGCCGGCCTATTTTCTCCCCCGGGCCCTCGCTCCGGGGTGGACGCCCGAGCGCCGGCGCCGCCTCCTCCCCCGTAGGCAGTGATGGTACCTGCCGGCGCCCGGCGAGCGCCCGGGCCCAGGGGCCCCCTTCTCTCTGCCCCCGCGCACGCCGCCGCGCTCCGCCCAGCAACAGAGTCTCTGCCGGGCAAGAGCGGCGCCACATCCGGGTACTGGCGCACCGAAGGCCGCTGCAGCACGTTCTCTGAGGGATTAGGACAGGGCTCCTCAGTAACAGTACGGTGGAAGGGTTTTGGAGAGTCGCGCGACTGGAGAAAGAAGGCAGAGAAGATCGTTCCCTAAGCGCCTTGCCAAGGCCGTGTGAGGGTACGCATGCGCACGTCCTGGAAAACCTAAGGGGCAGACGCCCAGACCCAGTCTGAGAAGATGGAGGGGCGGTTCCCTGGAGTTGTTGCAGATCGGTTGCGCCGCGCGTCCCATTGGCTGTGAGGGAAGGGGCGGGGCAAGGAAGTGCGTCTGGCCAGTTTTTAGGTGGGACTGGAGGCAGTGAGAATCCGGATGTGGTCTGGGCTGCTGAAAGCGGATACCTCTGGTGAGGTCAGTCTTTAAACAAGTTGTAGAGTACCAGGATGTACTAAGTGTGAATTTGGGATTACATAAAGTTTTAGTCTTTTTGTTTTTAATTTTTATTGGAGTATAGTTGATTTACAATGTTGTGTTAATTTCAGGTGTACAGCAAAGTGAATCTATTATACATATACATATATCTACTCTTTTTTAGATTATTTTCCCATATAGTCCGTTACAGAGTATTGAGTAGAGCTTCCTGTACTATAACAGTTGGTCCTTATTAGTTATCTATTTTATATATAGTAGTGTGTTTATGTAGTTTTCTTTTTTAACGGGCCGGGGAATAGGACAGATTAGGACACAGATTAAGGGCAACCTGTATTTCTGTATATGTAAATTGAAAGTATTTCAGACCACAGTGGGTAATTAGTGATGTGTTTTTAAACTGAGCAGAATGTTACTGAATGATGTGTGTCTTGCCTTTATGTGGAGTCAGGGTGGTAAGTAGACTCCAAACAGCACAAGCTCCTGGGAGAGACTTTACAAGCATATTGCCCATTTAACAACATCTTGCCCATCCATTACATAATTCGGCCCCCAATCACAGAGTGGTTTCTGGCTATTACTTAAATGACATCATGGTGTGTAGGATTTAAAATCATTGGTTCACAGCCCACACGGATGAATCGTTAGCATACTGATGCTTTTCCTGAGAGTCAAGGGAGCAAGGAATACTCCAGCAGTATTGAATAATCAAGTGGAAAGAAAGGGAGTGTTAAAGAGTAACCAGTGGAAAAGAAAAAAAAGAGTAACCAGTGAATGATTATGTAGTGAAATAAATGTTCTTAATTTTTCATGTCAGTGAAACAGGAAAATACCAGTATGGAATCCCAAAGGCCAAACAGAGCTTATTTTAGAAACTAAGCAGTTCAAATATTTGTTCAAAATAAGCAGCCAAATATGTAGTCTATTTCAAAGCATTTTCACCCTGGAAGTGTTAAATGTGCTATTCTTTCTCTGCCAACTCTTTCTTTTCTCTCTGGGTTCTATTCTGGTTTCCTTCTTTTCTTGTTCACGAGTTAAATTGATCACATGCATTAATAACTTGATAAAAGATTTTTAGAAAAAAATATAGCCACTGCACAAGTTATACTGTGGTTGACTTTGTAAAGTAAGCTAACTCGAGAAAAGGCCAACTGAGATGATAAGACAATAGTGCAACCTTGCATTTTACATCAAACCCAGTCTATTGATAATGGCTTTCCATGTTTGATTGTGTTTATTTCACCCAGGAGTTTTATACTTATGAAGACATCATCTCATATTTAGACAGGCTTTTATTCTCAATACCAGAGATTTTTTATAATAACTTAGGATGTTATTTGTCCTTAAAATGGAAAAGGATCTTAAGAGGTGATCTAGCCCAGTGGTTTTCTTTTCTTTTCTTCCCCCATCCCTTCCCCGCCGCTTGACAAATCCTCTGTTCTTACCCTGACCTGTAACAGGAGCTAGGCGCTCTAGATGAAGCAATTCAGGAATTCCCCGGCGGTCCAGCAATATAGCAAGGCTGGTACCTGCTTGTAGTCTTCCCTTCCTCCTGCCTTTGCAGGGGCTCTGCAGAAACTCATCAAAACCTCTGGAGTACCACTGAGCACAATTAATCAAATTAACCTAATCCACATATTTGATAAGAAGAAAATGAGGCCAGCACTGATTAAGTAACTTGTCCAGGATTTCAGAGGAAGTTGAGAAAAAAGCAAAAACTATAACCCGTATAATACTGGATGAATTTCTGTATATTCAACGGTCTCTTACCCATCCATCCCCTTACTAAACACATTGTGAATTTATAACACTATCATGTTGCTAAGACTATTTCAAGGCCCTTAAATTAATTCAGTTTGCCAGTGGTCTCTAAATATTTTTGATCATACATCCTTTCAGTACAAAATTTTTGAACGTGTACTTCCAATATGTGTACTTATTAACGTATAACTTATATATGTATTAGCATGTTACATGTTATATAATATACTCAAAAACAGAAATTACAAGAGGATAAGATACCAAAGAAATAGGAAAGTTTTCATACTTTCTTCCTTCACTCCAATAGATCATCTTCTGCATCCCTGGATGTTTAAATTAGTATTCTCCAAAGTAGACACACCACAACAACAAGCTCATAATTACAGAAAATAGATCGGTGGTTGCCAGAGGCAGTGATTGGAGGGTGGGTGAATAGGGTGAAGGAGGTCAAAGGTACATACTTCCAGTTATAAAATAAATAAGTCATGGGGATGTAATGTACAGCATGACGACTATAGTTAGTAATACCATATTGTATATTTGAAAGTTGCTACAAGAATAGATCTCAAGGGGCTTCCCTGGTGGCACAGTGGTTGAGAGTCTGCCTGCTGATGCAGGGGACACGGGTTCGTGCCCTGGTCTGGGAAGATCCCACGTGCCGTGGAGCGGCTGGACCCGTGAGCCATGGCCGCTGAGCCTGCGCGTCTGGAGCCTGTGCTCCGCAACGGGAGAGGCCACAACAGTGAGAGGCCCGTGTATCGCAAAAAAAAAAAAAATAGTATATTTTATATATTTGTATATATTATATATATGAAGATGTATATGTATACATCCTATTGGTTCTGTTTCTCTGGAGAACCCTAACTAATACATGTAGTCTACCATTAAGTTTTACTAGAACATAAATGAAATATTCCAAAATGTACCCCCAAAGAATCTCTAGATTCCAAACACAGTCCTTTCTTCACCTTTTTGGTAGCAAGAATCCCATTTCCACTCGATAATTGGGACCCATCCCTCAGTCAGTACAGTTAACTCTCTTCTCTGCTTGTTGGTTTAATGGTTTGAAAAACTCAAAATGTTCAAGTGTCAGTCTCAACCTCCAATTCAGTGGAAATATTTTGGTATCCTCTGGTGGAAACGCTCCTCACTTGGGAAATAAGTTCTTATAACCAGTAAAACACACAGGTGTAGAAATAGGAATCAAAACATTTTTCCAGGGTGGTTATCTACTAGTGTAAGAATGAAAAGAGCCATGTCAACCCCTTGATTCCTGAACCTGTTGATTATGACTATGGGAGCACCATCTTTTGGTCACATGTTCAAAGCACATATCTCAGTTGGTGTTCCATGGTCAGGCATTTAGTTTCAACCACAACCTAGAAGAAAGCAGGAGCTATTTCTCAAAGGGAGAATACTTATTGAAAGAAGAGGGCATAATTTTGAACTAAACCCTAGAGTTTTGCATAGGGATTCTACTATCAACATCTGACGGAGGATTCATATTGTATGACAGTCTGTCACAGACATGTAACAATATGGGTCATATGGCCCACATGACAGAGAAGCTTGCCCTGCAGTCTGGGCCTGCTTCAGAGTTTTCTCTTATTTTAGGAACTACTCAAAACTGGCTTGTACAAAGCAATATAAATGTGATATATCTTGCCTCTAAAATACAAAAAGGTTCAAGTGTTTTTACCTCTTTCTTAGCAGCTAAAGGTACCATTTGCCTTTTATTTTACAGAGGATATTCTGATATGCCCCAGACCACTGGACTCCTGGCAACTTTATCAAAGTGATAGGATCTAAACTTTCCTAGATTATCTGCCATCCATTGGTATTCATGTGTCTTACTAAGGCATCTAGAGTTCTTGACACTTCTGGCCCACCAAGTCAAATCAATATAATGTCATCACTGTAATGGACCAGCATGATGTTCTGTGGGATGGTAAGGGAATCAATGTCTCTACAAACTAGATTATGACAGAGAGCAGTAGACTTTACATAGCTCTGAGGAAAGACATTGAAGATATGCAGCTGCTCCTGCTAGATGAAAGTAGTATGTTTGTGATGATGCCTGTCAAATTGTACTGAGAACAAAGCACTTTGTAGATCAGCAATAGCTGGAGCTACACATTGATATGCCCCATTAGAGAGACCACATCTAAAAACAGTAGCTAC